GATGTACTATAGCCAATTTTGCAGGTGGCACATAAAGTATGTGGGAAGGCAAGTGGTGAGGATGCGACAAAGAGTCTCCAAAGATGTATAGACAGGTTAAGTGAGTAGGCAAAAACTTGGCAGATGAAATATGATGTGGGTAAATGTGAGAGTATGTACTTCAGCAGGAAGAATAGAGGAGCTGAATGTTATTCAGATGGAGAAGCATTGCAGAAAGCTGCACCTCAAAGGGATTTGAGAATCCTTGTGCATAAATCACAAAAAGCTAACAGACAGGTTCAGAGGCAATAGAGAAGGCAAATGGAATGTTGGCCTTTAAGGATCTGTCAGGAGCTCCTCACACTGCTGGGAAGCGATGGTTCCCTTGTCTCAGGCCTGGAGAGCATCAGTGTTGAAACTTGAGCTTTTTACACTGTTCTGTTCTCTCCAGATCCATTCAGCGAGCATACTTGTAGGGTTTGTGGAAGGACCTGCTGTGGGTTAGTCTGGGGGTGTCAGTGATGGATGGTGTACAATGCGGAAAAATGTGATATTATCTACTTTAGAAGGAAAAACAAAAATACAGTTTATGCTTTAAATTCTGAAAGACTGGCAAGTGTTGAACTTCAGAAGGACTTGGGTATCCTTGTTCATTAAGCATTGAAAGTTACAAACAGGCACAACAAGCATTATGACAAGATAATTTGAAATAGGAGCAAAGATACTTTACTTCAATTATAGAGCCTTGGTGAGACCACACCTGAGTATGTGAGCAGTTTTGGTCTCTTTTCTATCTTGACTGAGTCAATTAGCATTAGAAATATGGGCCATAAGTTGTTTGACTATGCATAGAATACTGGGGATACGAGCTACATTACTGAAAGAATCAAATAGATCAAAGCTTTCCACTTCTGATCATATTGCATTCCTGGGAAAGGGGACCTCAACAGACATCTGATCAGGTAACCAATGACAGGACAAATCCAGAATCCATCCCATGGCAAAGTCCCTCCACATAGAAAACACCATCAGTAATTACATTGAAGATTTCATTCTCTCTGCAAGTTGAGGTTGGACCATCTTGATCTATGTATCTCTGCTTGTCCCAAAACACATTGATCATGCTGTAATTAACTGTACCTGCTTTTAAGCAGATACATCATTTCTGGCTCATACGGCAGTTCTCCCACCCAAGTCAACTGGCTTTGTCAGCAAACTCCACTCCTGAGACTTGAGCATTAAAAAAAAAACAAATGCAACATGAGATGTTGATACAATTCTGGTTCAGTAAAGGAAGTGCTGGATTATCAGGTATGCTACTTTTGGATGATATGTTAATCTGAGACCCTGGTTGTTCTTTCAGGTGGACACAAAAAGAATTCATGACTCAAAGAGCAGGAAGTTATCTCAAGTGCACAGAATATCTGTCCATCAACGTCATTAAGTAAAATATTGTATCTGGTCATTATCACATTCCTGCTTGTGGGAACTTGCAATTTGGTTGATTATTTCCCACAGCAGTGACTATAGTTAATTTACTGCAAATCACTGAGGTATCCTATGGTTATAAAATATGCTATATAAACCTTAACCTTTTTTAGTACTAGATACATAAAGCATTCACATCTGCTGCTCACAATCTCATCGCATATTTCAAAGTATATATAACATCAGGAATATCACAGAAAGAGGTCACTCATCATATGACGCCCATTTTGCTTCTTTGAATTAGGTATCCAATTTGTCCCATAATCTTGAAAAAAAAAACCTTCCCCCTCAATTATTTACCCAATTCCATTTCAAAAGACTCGTGAGATAATGGAACCTGTATCCATCCCTTTCTCAGGCAGTACATTCTACTTTATTTTTATCCCCCCTTCCACACCTCTCCCTCTGGTTCCTTTGCCAATTGCCTTAGAAAGGTCAGTAGCTAGAGGACGTCGTTCTACCATTGGAAACAAGAAGAAAAATCCCATTCCTATATTCTGTTCACCTAAATGAAGTTCCATGTCAAAGTAGATTCCTCCAGCACTCTTGGCCCAATCTCCTCCCAGCGCATGGAGTCATTGCTCAGAATCTATGTTGACTGTTTCAATATTCCACATCAAAAATGTGCACAAGTTTCTAAGCATCAACTGGGAATGGCAAGTCCCATTATTTCTGCCTCATTCAGCCACCTACGTGAAAAATTACAACAGTTAACACACTTACTGGGGTTACTCAGCACTAGGCAGTAGTTATGAATAGTACCTCTCTCAGCCTTCGGAAACACCTCATCCTGAGGTGCAATTCCAAGCAACAAGGAATGCTCCTTTCAGTGAGATGGGGTCAGAAAGATTCATCTGACCTGTAATAGGTCAGTTCCCCTGATGGCCACATGCAACAAGCACAGTGCCTAGTGATGGATAACTGTTCACATTGATGACCTGTGCAGACAGTCATTCATTTTGGCCTTTGCCTTCCAGTCACAATAGAACTTCTGGGAAAGCAGATTTACCAAAATACAGACCTTCAACCACATCAATGTAATTATTCCTATTGATAACAGACATGTGGATGAATTGCACAAGTGCTTTTCTGGTGCTGTTACAAAGCTACTTCCAGGAGTTATCCATCTTGGCTATTGACCCATCTACATCCCTTGCCTTGATGCAGAAAGCACAACACTGCTAAAAGAATGTGAATCATCTGGTGACTCTGTAGAGCTGACCACCTCAGGTCTTTCAAAGCTACCTGTCACATCAGATGGAAAGACATGACAGCAAGGCTCAGTTCACTTCTTCCAGTTGGAGATGTTGGGAGCCTGAGTCACCAGCTTGGCACAGTCCAAAAATTAACACATTCTAAATTGCATGTCAGTCACTTGTACCATTTGTAAAGAATGAACACCGGTAGATTAAATACATGCATCATTTACAATATACTAAAGAAAACACTAGCAATATCCAGAACATGGCAGCCCTGATCCCTGCAAAATTACAAAACTGGACACAGCATTAAGGAAACCAGTGTCGTAAAACATTGGAATATGACAATGTTGCACCAGAATATTAGAAACAAATTGTTGTGGCTAGCTCAGTTCTACAAAGGAATTGTCAGATCAAATTTAATCCCAAAGGGTGCAGCATAGACCTGTAAAACCTATATAAAAATCTCACATTGGCAGAAATCTATCAACTGAGATCACTATTTTCTGCACGCTTTAAGATTTTTGAGCCTTTCCTGGGATGCACATCTCTGCAAGTACCTTTAATGTCAATCAAGCTGGTTTTCATAAGGGCTGCACTAAATGTTGACAAAGACTTTCTAAAGACCCTGAAGACTGTCAGTGCTACATTGGACCTCACAACTGCCTGGGATATGGTATAGTACACTGACCTCTTCTTAAAGCTGTCCAGCATCCTTCCAACCAAGTTGAAACACTCCCTCACGACAAATAATTTACGGTCTTTGTCAAGCAAGAAGTGCACTGGGATCAACTGTATACCACAGATGTCAGTTTCATCCTCAACTCTGTTCAACATTATACACAAATGACTTGCCAACAATTAGGTCCTATGTTGATGACATCTGTTGTGCCATCCCAACTCCATTCATCTGTAGCCCTTGACCAGATTCTTAACGAAAGCATGTGCTGTACATTGTAGTCTGCTATTGAAACCTTTTTAAGCCACGTCTAGTGAATGCCATTTCCATAATGCCAGCGCCAAAGACAAATTGTATATCTACATGCATGGCCAGAGAGTAAAGCCCAATCCCATTTTCACATAGTTGGGAGGGACACTAGTGACAAATTTATTTTTCTGGAAACATCTGAAGACAACAATAACAAAAAACAGCAACATCAGAAACAAACCTGTTCACAAAACTTGCTGGATCATCTTGGGATATTGCTCACAATTGGACCTCAATATCTGCTCTATTACACTCAGCAGCAATGTCTGTACACTTACTTTGCAAGAGTCATCACATACCTCTTGCTAACACACAATCGAATGCAACAATAAACATCGTTACTAGAAACCCCACCATCGCAACAAACACTGCTTACTGTTCAAACATATATTACTCCCCCTCATTGGCTGACAAAAACTTACAGGCTGATTGAAAGCATTCATGCTGCACTTCACTTACCCCTCCCAATGATGACCTGTTCAATCCACCTTGCATCTCAGTGCCCCATATGAAACAACTTATTAGCAACTCCCACTTGTAGGCACCCTTTTGATCAGAATATAGGAAACAGCTATTACCAACAATTTCTTGTGTCAAACTGCATCTGTGAAATTGCAGGCTTCTGAACTGAGTGTGATCCTTGCTAAATAAATCCAGGACAAGCCATAGCCCTGTATAACTCAGCTGCACTGCTGTAGCCTCAGTACAAACTCCTTATGCATTTGTTTCTTAAACTGTACACCCTTGCCAGAATAATGTTGTAGGCCATTTCGGAGGGCAATTGAATTAAAACATTTCACCATCTATTGTGGTGTGGTTCAAACTCATGGCCCCAGAGCATTAGCCTGGGACTCTGGATTACTAGCCCAGTGGACATTAATACTATACCATCTCCTCCCCACTTTGTGGGGAAACAAATAATTCTGTACATCATTGATGTGTGCCCCCTCTACGGATATGGTGGACTAATCACATTAACAGCAACTGCGCTGCTAATGCTTGGCTTCAGAGATTTCATTTCATCGAATAAAATTGGCCCAGAATGAGTTTGGTTATTTCAATGAGGCAGTGAGAAAATTGGGAAGACTGCCTGCTCTTAGGAGATAGTAAGAACTGCAGATGCTGGAGGCAGAGACAACACAGTATGGAGCTGGAAGAATATAGCAGGCCTCACAGCATCAGAGGAGCAGGAAAGTTGACGTTTCAGGTTGGGACCCATCTTCAGAAATGGCCCATGCAGTGTTCTTCCAGCTCCATACTGTGTTATGCCTGCTCTCAGGAGTTGCCTTTGTGATTTTCTTTTCCTGTGGAGTGGCACAAGAGAAAAATGTAGCAATAATAAAAAGTGGTCCTATAAAACTTTATTAGTTGTATGTTTAACAACAAAAAATGCACTTCCAAAGCAATGCAATTTACACCATTTATATAAAATAGTTTCTGAGTCAGCATGGCATTTTATTTTGAAGTATATACAACCAAATACATTAGGATAAAGCCTACAAAAGGCTTAGGTTATCCAGTATTAGAAATACATATTTTGACATTACAGAGCATAGAACAAGTCTTTAAACAATTATTTAAGTGAGAGAAGTACAGAACATAATTTGAAAGAATTGTTTCAAATGGATTCCATGAGGAAAGAAAAGGTAATGATCAAGTAACAATACTTAGATCATTGGAATTTTGAGGCAGTGAAACAAAATTATAGACAGCAATATACATTGAAGCAAAATAAACTCAGATGTTGAAGATTAATTAAAATTACAAAAGAAGAACAATGAAAGAACTAATTTTGTATTCTGAGTGGCAGCTTTGATTTTGATGCTGAGAGGGTTAGATTCTCTTCCAAAGACTTTGATTTGTCAAAACTAACAGCAGATTTGTTTTCTTTGTCTCTTTTATATCTTTTCTGATGCTAAAAAAAAGTGAAAGGAATACAAATTTAGAACACCAAGCGAACAGGTAAATAAGTTAACTCTCAGAACTTCAAACTAGCCTTTGAGACTTTTTTGTTGTAAAGATAGAAAGCTATCTACTTTATACATGTACGCAAATATAAGCCTTGTGATTCAGACCTGCTGATGAAGTACAGTATATTCGCTGATAAGCACATCATGAAGCAATATTTGGCTATCAGGTAATACATTACAACATATGTTGCAATTGTCTCTTTGCCCCACGAGAACTAAATTAATGTAAACGTACACAGATGAGATATAGACCACCAGGATTAGACAAAAGATTCATTTCAGTTGCTGTAGGAACATCCCACATGTCTATTTCACGATATTTGAACTTCTAAATTCAATCAATTTTGTACCAAGTTACATTACCTGGAGGCTTCAAAAGAGTTAATTAAAATATATCCACTATAACATTTACTAGCAATATTCAAATGCTGACAATGTACATACATGAATCTAAACAAAAAAAAAGCAAAGTAAATCAAAAACACTGCCCAAGTGATTCCTTTAAGATTGTATTCAGTTGCTTTTATTTATGTGGGCAGATCTAGCTGGACCAACATTTATTGGTGATGGCGAGCTGCCTTCTTGAACTGCTGGAGTCCATTTGGTGCAATTACACCCAAAATGCAGTTAAGGTTGGGAGTTTCAGGATTTTGACAAGTGAAACTCAAGGAATGACAATGTATTTCCAGTCAGGATGGTGAATGGCTTGGCGGGAACTTGCAGGTGGTGGTATTCCAGTGTATCTGCTGCGCTTATCCTTTTAAGTGCCAATGGTCATGGCTTTGCAACATGCTATCTAAAGAAGCTTGGTAAATTTCTGAATTGCAAATTGCAGATGGTCCCACTGCTGCTGTTGAGTGTCGGTGGTAGGGGAAATAAATGTCTGTAGATGTGGTGCCAGTCAAGTGGACTGCTTTGTCCTGGATGCAACCAAGCTTCTTGAATGCCATTGAAGCTACACTTATTCAAGCAAATGGGAATTATTCTGTCACACTCCCGACTTGTGCCTTCTAGATAGTGGACATGTTTTGGGGGGGATTCCTAACCCCTGAACTGGTCTTGTAGCCACTGTATTAAACAGCTAGTCCAGTTCAATTTTTCAACAACGGCAAGCCCCAAACTGCTGAGAGAGGGAACTTAACAATCAAGAGGCAATGATTAGATTCTCTTGTTGGAGATGGCCATTGTCTGCCAGTTATGTGATGTGATTGCTACTTGCTATTTGTCAGCTCAAGCATGGATACTGTCCAGGTCTTGTTGCATTTGGACCTGGACTGCTTCAGTATCTGAAGTGTCATGAGTAATACTGAAAATTGTACAATGAACAATGCCACGTCTGATGTTATGATTGAGGGGAGGTCATCAATGAAGCAATTGAAGGTGATTTTGAGTCTAGGATATCACACTGAGGAATTTGTAGGGTTTTTTTTAAAATGTAGTTTTGAGGCTTGGGTTCAAGCCCCACCTGCTCCAAGAGTTTTGTAATAACATCTCTGAACAGATTGTTTAGAAACTAAATACCCTGAGGAACTCCTGCAGAGAGATGACATCCAACAACAACAACATTCATTTGTGCTAGTTATGACTGTGCTGTTTATGTTGTTTGGAATGCAAGTAGTCCTGTGGCGAAGCTTCATTTTGGTTGACATTTTATTTTTAGGTATGCCCTTGGCATGCCCTCCTGCACACTTCAACGAGCTGGGGTGGATACTTATGGTAAAATGTGGAAAATGCACTAGCTGGGTCACAAGGTTACAGACTGTGCCCTCTGATGGCCCACAGAGCCTCATCAATGCCCAGTCTCGGATTGCTAGATTGATTTCAAACCGATCTCATTTAGCACGCTGATATTGCCACACAACTCAATGGAGGGCATTCTCAATGTGAAACTGAGACTTTCCCCACAAGGACTGTGCAGCAGTCACTGTTACAGATACTGTCAAAGCCACATGTATCTGTGGCAGGCAGATTGGTAAGGACTAAGTCAAGTATATTTTTTCCCTCGTTGGTTCCGTCTCTACCTGCTGCACACCTACCATGTTGGCTAAGTCCTTTAGGGCTTAAACAGTTTGGTCAATAGTAGTGCTGCCAAGACAATCTTAGTGGTGGATACTGAAATCCCTCACCCAGGGTACATTGTGCTCGTTACTGTCAATGCTTCCTCCATTAGTGCCCAACATGGAGGCGTGCTGATTTATCAGTCGGGGATGGAGGTGCCCAGTCCACTGTAAATCAGCAGGAGGTTTCAATACCCATAACCTGATGCTATGAATCTTTCTGGGATCTGGAGTCAATCAAGGTCTCCCAGGCCAACTCCCTCCCAATTGTATACACTGTGCCACCATTTCTGCTGAGCCTGCCAGTGGGACTGGACATATCCAGGGATGATGTTGCCTTAGATATTGTGTGAGGTTAAATTCTGGGAGTATAACTGTGTCGGGTCGTTACTGCTAGTCTGAGAGACAGTTCTCCCAGTTTTGGCAATAACCCCCCAGTATTAGCAAGGAGGAATTTGGAGTGTCAACAAGGATATGTATGCCATTGTGATTATTGGTGCCTAGGTCAGTGCCAGGTTGTTTGCACCATTAATTTCTTTGGGAGATTTTTAGCAGCTTGTTACAACTGAGTGGCTTGCTGGGCCACATTTGAGTCAACCACATTGCTGTGGATCTGGAGTCACAAGACCAGGTAAGGACTGTGGTTTTTCTCCCCTAAAGGGCATTAGTCAGCCAGATGGTTAATTCTATGAAAACAATGGCTTCTTGATCATCATTGGACTTTTAACAACAGGATTAATTTTTAAATTCAAATTCCATTTCTGACATGGTGGGACTCAAACTCAGGTTTCCAGAGCATTAGCTGGATCTCTGGATTATTAGTCCAGTGACAATACAACCATACAGTCACCTCCCCTTAAAATGTTCCATAACATACTGTTATGTCCCACGGAGAAATCAATCAAACAAAATGCACTTTTAAAAGTAGTGCAACTAGAAATGGTGAATACCATGTGCACTCATTTGGCTGACTGCAACCAAAGTATGTACTTTCAGCTGATAACCACCTTCCCACAAGATGTTTAAGCTGAAGTTTGTGAAAAAATACTTACTACTCTTACTTTCACTGACTATGTCGTCATTCACCCATTTTACACAAATGAATGAAAGTGAACCCAGCAATGCAAATTCAATGACACAACTTTCATTTACCTTGAAAAATGGGGCACCACCACTATTTACACAGAAATCCTCTTCAGTACTCAACTTCTCACTGGCAATGCTGTCATTCTGGATGCTTGCTTTATCATCTTCTACAGACTCCTGAATATCAAAAACAATTTGGTTTTATTATTACAGTCACAGATTTAAAAGAATAAATTTGCAGTCATATAGCACTTTCACATCCTCAAAGTATTTTAGAATAATTTGAGGAAACTTTAAAGATAGCCACTCCTTTACAGGCAAATGCAGCAGCTGTATTACACACAGCAAGATCTCAAACAGCAATGAGATGGATGACCAGTTGGTCCACTTGGATGGCGATGGCTAACAGATGAACATTGGTTCAGGCATAAATAGAACACCCAGCTCTTGATAGTGCTATGGGTGCTTAACATCAACCAGATAGGGCACCAGTTTTAAAAAATACATCAAAATAAAAGAAATAAATTGCAAAGTTTCAGTTAACCGATTTTCAATCATGCAATTTCCTCCCCAGATAAATATGGAAATGTACTTAAATGTTTAAATAAAGTCAAGATGACAGACATCTCCTTAGGATACAAAGGCAATTTCTGGATGCTTGTTTTATCATCTTTTACAGACTCCTGAATACCAATTCTTGTTTTAAAAAAAAAAAAAAAGAAGTTTGTGGTAAAATAGTTGCTCACCACTCTTATTTTCACTATTTCACCATTCACCCATTTTACATAAATGAAAATGAACCCAGTAACGCAACTTCAATGATACAACTTCATTAAGTCAGTTTTTCTCATGATGCATCAAGAGCTTTTGGAGGAACTAAATTTCACCAAACAGGATGGTCATATATTTTTGAAGGTTACCAAATTCCAAGGAGTGTTCAGGAATCCGGAGGGAACAGTACTCCACTTTGTATGGGCCTGAAGAAAGCTTTTCACATCACAATGATCTTTTGCTTAACTATTGAAAATATCTTTGTACCTTTGTGAAAAAAAGTTATATTTGTACCCATGCAGGACAGTTACATTTGAGCACTTCAAACTCTGTCAACCCAATGTCCCAAAGGGCTCTTAGACAGCACGAGGTGTCACACAGTGAGAGAGAGAGAGAGTGAGAGAGAGGGTAACGTGCAGGTTAAATGTAATCAAAGTGAAATTCCCAAGTCTGTCAGCCCAGTCTGGTATCCCACACGCTCCCAAACCCTAGACTAGCTGGTCCACTGGCTGTGTTTGGGAACGATAACGTACATGGACAAGGCAGACAGACAGACAGACAGACAGACAGACAGACAGTCTTTGGTGCTGCAGCTAAGGAACTGTTTTTTTTCCAACATTCGTACATGTTCCTTCACATCATTATCTGTTCTGTCACTTAGCATTTTTTATACCCCACAAGCAACATAAACATATGATATGTAAAGTACAAACAGGTTAGATTTGCAATTGCATTGAAGTACTTGAGAGACGGTGTGTACTAGAGGAAATTGAATTGCACTCCTCTTTTGTGACCATCATGTAATGTAGACTAACATACTTCACAAATAAAAAGTATATATTTTTGAAAACTCTGCCTCACTCCAGATGTATCAGAACAAAGCTTAATTTTTCATACTCGGAGGTTTTTCAGAAAAGTTGGCACAATTATGAATATTCTCATTCCTTACTTCAATTTTGCATTCAACACCTCAGATGATCTAGATAGAAGCAGTTTTTATTTACCCCTGCACTCTGCCACCCCTTGCTCTTCCGTCTTAACATTCTCTTGAAAGTGATGACAGGGTGGAGACAGTTCTCCAGATCTTAGGAGCAAATACTTGGCATCCAAGTGATTATTCTTCAACTGAAAGTGGATCTTGGGTCGTGGTGTCTAGCCATTGGATTATCATCCAGAACTCTCTCATATCCTTAACTGACATCCATATATACGCATCCTCTATCTATGGTGAGAGGGTAACAGCCAGCAACGGAAAACATTGTGTTGCTTCTTATTCTATCCTTGTCCCAAGGCTGGTGACTGCTGTATCTAACTAAATTCCCAGTTAATATCAACTAGCATGGTGTAGACCAGGAATTGAACCTGAGACCGTCATGACTTGGATGGCTTAGCATCACATTATATATCATTATCCTGTAGTGTAGGTATCGAATGTAGATCTCGGTGTTTGCCCTATCACTCAATA